CTTGTGGGGGGAAAAAACATGCAAGCACTGTCACCGACAGCAAGTTTAGTTTTACTTTTCGTTTTGTTTTCATTTTGAAAAACTTGTTATCTTTGCTGACCAACTGAGAAAGTTAGTCGCAGAAGAGCGACCAGTGGGAAGAATGAGTCTAGAGCCCTGCCAAACCAGCACTGGATTCACTGTACAGCCACAGAAGTTTAGCATTTCTCAACTTTCTGACGCTCTCACCGCTCAATCCCACAGGAGCCTGTCGCCATACTAGTGCTGCTAGTGATCTAATCAGTTTGTGAGTGATTCCTCAATCAAGTGTGCTGCAGAACAGACCATAATATCACCGAGACTGACCCTAGCAACAGCATAGCAACCATGCACCGCAAACACCGTTCACAATTCCTGCATGTAAAGATCCAGTTTCAGGCAATATATGTTGGAGATAACAGCGCTCTCATTAATCATAAGAATGTTTAACACATTCCACCATATTTAACCCACGGCACAAAATGTCAAAAAAGTGTGCAGATTCTGTGTGGGCCGATGGAAAACTGTTTTCGGCAGAGATCCACGAGCTACAGCAGCTATGCTGGGAATTAAAGACTAGCAAACCCAGTATGCAGTATGCATACCAACTACCTTCTCAATATGTATACAGTGCCTACTATTTTTATAAAATAGTATGTAAAAAAGTATGCATACCATCTAAATATACTTCATATGCCATGTACTACTTTTATAAAATAGTATGTAAAAACAGTATGCAGTGTGTATCTAAATATTTTTGAATATGCATGATATACTGTGTATCATTTTTATAAAATAGTGTAAGAAACAGTATGCAATATGCATAGCATCTAAATCTTTCTGAATATGCATGGTACACGGCATACTATTTTTATAAATTGTATGTGAAACAGCATGCACTATGCATACCATCTAAATCTGTCTGACTATACACAATATAAAGCATATATTTTAATAAAAGAGAATGTAAAACAGCATGCATTCTAAATCTTTCTGAATATACATGTAGATAGTGTTCTAATTTTAGCAAAATACTATGTAAAACAGTATGCAGTGTGCATACTATCTAAATATTTGAGAATATGCATGATATACTGCATACTTTAATAAAATAGTAAATGAAACGGTATGCGATATGCATAGCATCTACATTTTCTAAATATGCATGGTACACTGCATACTACTTTTATAAAACAGTATGTGAAACAGTACACAGTGTGCATACAATCTAAATATTTGTGAATACACATAATATACTGCAGACTTTAATAAAATAGTATGTGAAACAATATGTAGTATGCATGATACATTGCATATACATGATGCATTGCGTACAATTTTTTATAAAATAATATGCAACCCTCTACATTGCGAGTAAATCACTCGCATATGTGACTAAATCTTACTCTGGGCGACTAAATGATGTCTAATATTAGCCAATTGCTAATAAATTCTCAGATTTTACTTGCCAGTGTGCGAGTTGGAGGTTAAGTATAAGTGTAGCTCAGATATATTTTCACTCACAGAACACTCTCTGACTGAGCGCTTCAGAGTTTCACTCTCCGTCAAGCGATCTGTGCTGTTTTTCAGTTCATCTGAATGGATGTGCAACGCACCTGTATTTAACGTACCGTAAACGCTAGCGTGAAGGCGCACAACTCGCCGTCGCTTTGTTTCACACACACGCAGAGAGAGAGAGAATTGACGCGCTACATGTAAACGATATTCTTTGTTGTATTTTGCTGTCAAATTAACGGAGTTCCTTTCTCCGGTAGTGGGCGGAACTAATGCGCAAACGGCAATCTCATTGGCTGGTGCTCACCTATTATCGTCCTTGTTTTGATTTCAGCAAATCAGTTCGAGCGAACGCACACAACCTGATTAATATTCATGAATCCAGTAGCTCACTAATCCTTGGTGCGTTTTATATTGTTCTTATTAGTAGAATTCGTATCATTATTATCTAATCAGTATTTTTGTTAGTTTTTCCCCAATTTTAATTTTTTTTTACAGAAACACTGAATGACCAAAAAAAG